AAAAAAAAAAAAAAAAAAAAAAAAAAAAAAAAAAAAAAAAAAAAAAAATCAGAAGAAAAACAGAGAAGGATTAGGTTAAATAAACGGCAAGGACACGCTGACCCATGTATGTGTGGATAAAAGCTTGTTTGTTTGTATTTTCGTCTCTTTTTGCTTTTATAATATGCACGAACCATCCTCACCGTCTCGTTTCACCCGTTCATTTCAGTGGGTAGCCCCGTCTCCAAGGGCTCACCCCCTTCTCCTCCTCTTCTACCACCCAAAGTTCGAGATACGAGATTATCCGGGTCTCGCGTGAGCTTTACGGCATTCTACTACTGCTGAGCTGGTCGCAGTGCCCCTGTCTCGGACCGTGTCTGTTTTTGCTGCCTTTCAGTGGTGATAAGCCGTACATGCATGCAAGTAGTATTTGCCTCAAGAGTCCGAGACTAGCCTGGACGTACTCAGTTTGCAGGTGCCAGCCAGTGTCATCAGCCACGGAGTAATGCTCATAAGGGCCTCGTTATGGATTAGCCGATGTGTTGCGCCCCCTTCTTGAACCCAATTTTGTATGACTTTAATTTTGTTTTACGCAATACTGAGTTGTAGGGAGTACCTTATCGCAAAATATCTGCACTTGAATTTTTTTTAATGCGGTAAGACAAGGGAAGTGCGTCGAAAAGGTATGTTCCACGGTAGGGAAAAGAAAAAAGAAACAGGCGAGTTTGGAAAGAGTTAGGAGAGAAAAAAAAAGATTGAAGAAAAAGTGGGATAAGGAAAGAGAAAATCCAAGCCTCCAAATTCTCGAGTCTGGAATAAAGAGGGACAGCCCGGATGAAGAGACGTGCCATGAAAGAGCCAAGAAGCAGAAGAAGAGGCGCGAGCAGCCTCGGCGTTTGGTCCCCTCGTGGCCAGAGACACTAGAAAGGGGTGGAACAGAGTGGCTCTATCAGTCTCTAGCTCCAGTGTGATTCGAATGATGCCCCTTTTTTATATCCCCAGCCACTATAGAAAAAATAATAAGAAGAAAAAAAGAGACCAAGGATCGCTGTGTATACACTTGGGTACACACTGGATGGGGGCATCTTCGTGGACCAATCGATTCCTGATGTACCAGTGCGCTAGACTGGCTGTTGTGTTGTTCTGCGATGGGCAATTCTAAGGATACTGGGCACTTCCCTCTCAATTCTAAAGCAACATCTTTTTTTTTAATTTTTCTTTCTCCGTATTTCCTTCCTTTATCCACATTCACCCTCGTCTGTGCACTTTTACAATAGAATTTTGTCTTTCGATCTCATTTTGGCATCAAAAAGAAAATAAGATATAGCCTCTGGAATCAGATACTCATATCAGATTCAAAAAGTCGTTTAATACTGTATTAACGGACGACCACGTTGTTAATCTCTTAATTGCTCCAGAAAAGCTTATGGGTATTCGTTCAGGTTTATATCACTGTTTTGTGGCCGTCGATTTTACTTCTTTTTTCCTCCTGAATCGATCAGGGTGTCATGTAATATGATTTTTCATCCAATTGCTGCTTACTAGTTATAATGAAAAATTCTGGGAGGTCTTTTTAACTTCTTTGCGATACCACATTACCTTCCATCTTCTCCTTAATGTACATCCAATTAAGAGGTCATTAGGAAAACTCCTGATTCATGCAAGGGTAAAAAATGTCACTGCAAAACTCGACTGGCTGTAAATGGACCTTTTTTTTCGTCTCTGTTAATTAAACCACTTTCATTGAGAATCAAGGGTCAGATAGTTGTCTTATCGCGCGCCTCAGTCGGCGACCTCGTCTTGGATGGCTAGTCGAATTTTAATTTTACGCTCAACGAGAGCATCGATGGTCCCCCATAACGACTCCATATTTCAGCAGAAGAGACACAGTAAGAGAGATATTTCCCACCCCACGCCAGTGGAGCCACGCGACTTTGGGAATTGTCTCCGGGAAATCCGCGGAAAAGGAGGCGATTAAGTAGATCACCTTCGCCCCGTTTCAGGGACGTGGCTTTTCTCCTTCTCTTTCTACTACTGTACCCTAGAGATAAAGAAGCGAATTAAGAGGACGAGGTGAGGATGGCCAACCTGTCGAAGAGCTAAGGTACGATATTTTCTCGTCCACAGCCGTGAGCCGATGCATAATTCACTGGGACAAAAAAATGGGAATCAGGAAGTAGCAGCTCACGCTATCTTGGACAGATCAGAGATTAATAGGAGTCGATCGGTAGCTTTGCTAATCGAAGTCTCTAACGCGCGGGAAAAAGTTCTCGAGTAGATTCTCGGTTGTAGAGAAAAAAAAACAAAGTGGCGATTTTTATTCCAACGCGGACATCAATGCTTCATCTGATAGAAATTATGGCTTTGCTCATTGGTTCTTTAGGAGTGTGATTTCGGGCAAGTGGTTGTACCGAAGAGAAGTGAAGAATTGGGTGCTTATTTTGTTGAAAATTAAAT